CTTATTGTTATTTTCATTTTTATCATATTTTGTAAGAATGTAATGAAGATCCGATTTTGTAATAAGAAATATAAAGGCGATACCGATATTGATTCCTTTGATAGACCTGGAGAAATCGATAAAAATCAGGAAAATTGTATAAAAATATATAAAATAAAATGTAAATATCAGTAATTTGAGTAGACGAAAGTGTGCCTGCGTTTAGATATAGATGGACCATTATTTCTTAAAATATTCTGGGTACAAGGAAAAGGTTTGCGTGACAAATTTCTAAGTAAACTTGCACGTATGACATTTAGAAGACTATTCACATTCAAGCATATATTTTATAGTTGAATTAGTTATCAAACATATTGTCAAATAATCCAAAAAAGTGCATAGTTTCACTTCAAAGGACGAAACTTAATCGTTGTGTCTTCTAAAAATTACTAATATAAGTACGAAATTGTCTTTGTAAGAAATATGTATTACCTTATACTACGCGACTTTTATATAAACGTTTTCTTCGTACTTACAATATTCAGAGTGATAATGATCGTTTACATTTAAGTGCAAGCACACGTATATAGTATATATGTTATATATACTATTATGTTTATATAAATAGTTACAACTGCTAGTAGTTCACATAATACAGTGAAGTAAAGGTAACCATTTTTGAATATTAGTTATACATTTATTACAATTAAATTGTCGAAATGAAAATAATTCTCTTTGTATATATTATACATATATATACTACATATAGTGAGAAACTTCTTGTAAAAACATTAAAGAACGTGAAAAAGCATTTTATTTAACAATACATTGTGAATGTTTCAGTATAAGATAACAAATGATTTACTCAACAGTAAACATATTTAGGTTTTCTTGAAACTCTTTGAGATACAGCACATTAAGCTTATGCAGCGAACAGTCTTTGCAATGAGAAAGCAAGTACAGTAGAACATATGGCAAAGATGTAATATGAAGAATGAAATTATAAATGAAACGCTTATATATTATATTATGTATGAAAGGAAAACAAAATTCTATCTGAGATGAATAATTGTAATATTAATATTTGTGATACGAAAAATTTCTGAAAGAATAATTCTAGCATGTTATGTTACATTTTGACTCTGCGTACATAGAGCTTTCTTTACATCCTCATGTACAGTTTAATTTTGTAGAAACTTCTTTTAGTATTGTACTATATACATATATATTAGTCCATTCATGGAAAACATAAACTAAAAGACATACAAAAATTTTAGAGACTTTAGAATTCTCTTTGTACGCATAGTTCAATAATACTGTATTTAATCAATTTTGGAAGTGACGTGAAATAATGTTTCACGTCCTGTCTTGTATAGATATTGAAATCTTTTAGCTTGTACATTGCTAAAAAGGTAACTTAAAATATTGTAATAATGAAGCACAAAGAAACGTAAATATCACAATGCCTATAATTAATTTGTATAAACATAGGCCTGTAAAATAAAACTCGCATCGTGATATATAGTGAGAGAGAAAGATATCGTTAGGAATGATAATGGTTTAAAATCAACAGAAAACAATGTATCTTCCTCTCCCTTTCTGTTCAGCCTCTTAAACTTGTTCATAGGTGTACACATTTTTTGTGACCTGATTTAGTAACAACAATTGTTATAAAAGTATCGGATTTTC